ATTATTTTTTCTAAAGCATTAAGGGTCTACAATTCTCTTCAAATCCTAAAGAGATGGGATAAAGCAATAACAGGATTAGGGCAGATTCAACTAAGGTTCTAGATATCATTTTTACATCTCTTTTAGTAAGTTTATCTTTCATAATATGCTAAGCTATTTGTTTAATAGTCTTCTCAAAACAAGTACTAACAGACACTTGATATATATTCACCTCTTTGGCTTCTGACCTTTCTTCTTTGAGAGGGGCTTAACTTTTGTATTGCCTAATTCTCTAGAGAGGAATCAATACAAATGTCTGCTCTTTGCTAAAATTATACCCTTTTATAAGTCGATTACGAGCCTGATGCCTTTTCTCTTTATTATCTATTAAGAGCTCAAGTATTTCTGGTGCATATTGGCTAAGCTCTTTGATACTTATCTCTTTGATGAGTTTGTAGTCTGCAATGAACTTAGTTATAATAGCAGACAAGATGTGATATGTAAAATATAAGTGATAGTTAGATTAATCTTTCTTTGTCAAATTATATTAGATGGGAAATAGTTCAATTTGAAAAAAAATATTTTGATAATTCACTATGCGTAGACACTCTGTAACCCTACTCATGATTGGTAAAGGCTAACAGAAGGCCAAAAATAATATATCTTAGCCAAAGGTACTATGCATGTAGTTTCAAAAGGACACACTCTGATTGTGAAGGGTTTACATCAATTTAAAATTTGTAGGCAGATAGGATATGTAAAAAAAAATACATAGATATGGAACCCTATTTCAAGACTATAAATAAATTTGAATCATAATTGCATTTTAATCAAGTACTCGTATTAGAGCTAATATATGTTCTGGTTCTAAAGTATTTGTCTTGGTAAATGCATCATATAAAGCATCTGGTCTATATTTCAAAGGAGTTAAATTTGGGTAATGGAAGAATTTCATGAATACATTATTCTTTCAAGCTTTTGTCTCTTCATGCTTCCAAATTATTCCTATCAATATAGACAAGTTATTACTAGAATAGTTCATTTGAATTAGATTCTGAAGTAGTAATCGTTTATTTTTTTCTAAAGTAAATAGGTTCACTTCTCTCATGATAGCAGACTCTATACTAATGGGAAATGTTTTACAAATATCTGTTCTATTCACTAAAATTGATAGAGGCAGAATTAGAACTAGGTAGCAGAAATCATATAAGAGGTCAAATACGATTTTACTACCAATAAACATGGTTCTAATGCCTTCTAAATAATTATAACCTTCACAAATTAACTTCTAGAATAGCCTCCTGTTTGGGTCGATTCATCGACTAGTTAGAATATTAATCACTCTTTTTTGCATCATGTCTATATCACAAGTAAGTTCAGATATTTAGTATGGTAAATAAAATATAGATAATAGTTAGACTAATATCTGTTTGTCAGATTATATTAGATAGAAAAAGTTTAATTTAAAAAATTATTCTTGATAATTCGCTATATGTGAACCCTACTCATGATTGGTGAATATTAACAGTGGGTTAAAGAAGAGAGCGAAGTAAAAAAATAACATTAACATATTTTATATAGGTCTCTATAAGACCACCTGCTCTAGCCAAAAGGATATTTATATAATTTTGAGTTTTATATATAGTTTTAATATACAAGTGAAGTAAAAATACTAAAAAAATTTATTAACTAGTTGTAGAGAGCAAAAAATCTTCCTATACTGAAGCTTCTATCTATAAAATTTATCTTATTTTCACCTTATTAGCTCTTATTTGCTTTTTACCAAAGCATGCCGTTCTTTTGAAATATGCTTATAGTTTTTTTCCATTTCTCATCAGTATTAAGCCATAAGATTGTGACTCTATCATTCTTGAGCCTATGACAGATAATTTCTTCCTCTATCAATCTTTCTTATATTGTCATATCCATGTGCTAATTAGGATCATTTTCTAACTTTATAGCCTAGGCACATATTCATGAATCAGTTTCTATCCTATCTCAGAATGTAATGGAATTGAGCTTGTCCTTTTCGATGATAGTTACAAAGATATCTGGATTCTCACCAAGTTTGTTTGCCCTTTTTCTAAAGCACACCTCTCACTAAGCTCTCGACAAAAGAATAGAAAATGAAACTTTATTAGTAGGTTTAATAAATTCAGATGGATCAGGTAATTTATTTCTCTTTGGGTCAGTTTCGGGTTTATCAATTACTAGTTTGGGTAGTTCAGAAGTCTTGGAAGTCTCAGAAGTTCTAGATATTGAGACAACTAGTTCTGCCACATAATCGAAGAGAGTTTGGGTTGATTCATTCTATTTATCTAAATTCTTTTCTAGTTAAGAAGGGACTATCTTGAAAGGACTGATTTCTAGCATATTGAATATAGGTATGTTTATAGCCATATTGGTGAGCAACTTATTTTAAGGTATATTAGAAAATTTTTCAATATTGTCTAGACCAAATTCACAGAGCTTGACTATGATTTTAGAGCAGTTAAGAACATATTGCTACTCTTTTTTCCTGCCACCCACTTGTCCCTGTTTGCTTTTAATACTAATTTAAGAAAACTTCTTTCTAGCAAATTTGCTAATTAATGGTTTTTCACTATTCTCTCTCCACATCTCTACTACTAGTATAAAACTTGTGAATGTTACTCAGGTTGCAGTATTTACTAAACTCGTCCGCAAGAAACTCTCAGTAGAATTACAAGAAAAAACTATTATTGATAATATTGCAAATAAAAGGTTATTCTTCTTGTAAATACTTGGATCATCCAAGTATAAGGAAGAAATGAAAGAACATATTTGTATAAAAAAAGCTGTTTATCCAAAAAATAGGACTATCTTTGATTTCATGATTCATCTACCTAATGATAAATTAGAAGTCATCAAAAGCCTTCTTTTAGCTGTTCCAGAGCAAGAAGTCTCAGGTTCTATCAATACAAATGATGAAATTACTTAGGCTGAGTATGAAATGATTAAGAAATTGCTTAAAGAAAAGAACATCAAAGAATATAATCTCTCATACCCATCTAATGATAAGCCTGACTTATTTCTATTATCATGTGTCACTTCATCACACTATCCACTATATGATCAGGAATATAGCAATAAAAATACATATATTATTTGAAATAAAAAATCATATAGTTTTTATTGTTATCGTGCAAACCAGAATAAACAACCAGGAACGAAAAATCCTTCATTAAAGCTTAGTTTTAGCAAGACAGCTTTGAAGCGGAAAAAGAAACTTCCAACTCCAGTAAAATTACAACAGTGTAGAATTTCTGATCCAAATGACTATTTTGTATGAGGAGATTTAATTGTTATGTGTATATCTAGATAAAAATTTTCTTGTAGTAAAGTTTATAAAGCAATTCAGACAATAGTCGCCTATATTCAAACATCATCAAGATTATGGGTGCTCAAAATAGAAGATATAAATGACAGACTTTACTTTGAAAACTTAATTTAGCTAAGTATGAAGTTAGCTTAGTTGAATTAGAAGGTGAAGCAGTAAAGTTAAATAATCTAATAGACTAGGCAGTCACCAAGGGCCTAATTCAATACCATAATATTAATCTTCTTCCATATTCGCTAAATATCCTAGCTCCTAATACAAAGTTCTTTAATTGATAATCCGCCAGAATAAAAATAGTGTAACGTAATGCAAATCACT